TGCCGTTAAATGTATAAATATCCTGACCAATAATGTGACAATTGTTTCCTGTTACCAAAAGCTTAACTTAGAACGGTACAACTGTTTGACCATTGAGGTTCGATTGTGGAAAATATTTGATTAGAAGACGTGCAAATAGATTTCTTTTTAGACATTAAGATTAGAAAGGCAGTCCCTTGGGAAACCGGAAACGCCCCCTGGGGAACCACGCCCCAGGCAACAAAAGAGCGACACACGACTTCGTTCGCGCTCTTCTCTGCTCTCTCTCTCTCAGATCGCTCTGCTCTCTGGACGCTTCGGCATGCGTCCGGCGTGCCTCTCCGGGCAACGCCCTAAGAGTCGGCCAGCGCAACAGGCCTTTGTTTCGCCTGAAGCTAAACACCTGAAGTGCCGCGACACCGATCTGCCTTCAGCTTGTTTTAATTTCTTTCTTTTGTTTTGTTAAAGTTATCAGTCCGTTAAGTTACACTGGACTAATTCAGGAACGACCAAGTTCCCTTTTAAGCTTTTTCGTCGAGCCAACTTCACCGAGGTCAGACCAAGCCACGTGGTCTCGCCAGCTACAACCAAGGAAACCTGAAAACAGCCGAATTGCCAGACGGAGGAGGCCTTTTCAATCAGACACGGAGAACCCTGGAGAATCCCTAGCAAAAAGCCAGGACCGGGCAGCTAGCGTGGGACCAGCAACAGGCCAAAAGCAGGCTGTCGACAAGCAGTAAGACTTAACACACGTTCTGTGATCAGAGATTTCCTTTTAACTCCTAAACTCATAACGTTAGCTTACTTTCATTAGTTCTCCTCTGCCGTATGAGTCAAATGCTTCCTACAATCGAACCTCCATTGCTCATTGTTCCGCCATTGTTTATTTTCCCTGTATTTAACCACCCGTTTATATCGCTTTAGTTAATAAATTCACTGTAATCAGGAAACTGTGTGTGTTGCCTATTTCCACGTCCCTGCCAAGAGAATTGACCCTTTACATTTGAGACTGACTGATTGATTTAAAATAATTGAGCGATTATTAACTAACTGATCACTAGTAATAATTGTATAATTATTAAAACTACCTAGAGGTCCGGAGACTCTAGGATTATAACAACTCCGGTGGTGCCCTGAAACGAGGAATATGGTTGATTGTATGAATATTAAAATTCATAACTGGGTATTAATTCTCGTAAATTTATTAAAATTCATAACTAATTTAGCCATGCTACAAATGAATCAATCAATTTAATTTTGTGACGCCGCTGCATCCTGATCCCTCGATATCCTTCACAACAGTCTTTTTGATACAGATACTGGATATTAAAGGAAACCATCTGCAAAGCTTGCGTTGCTCGCAATAATTAAAACAAAAGATACTGCGGGTGACTGTGAGATCAAACGAAATACACTCCACTTACAGTGTGTCCACAAACATCCTCATGGTCCGTTTCCATCCCCCTGGTTTTATGCACATTTTCAGTTTGAAAATTAAAAGAGCTGAGTGGAAATGGTGGAAATTAGGAAAATGACTTATACTGAGGAGCTGAAAGCATCAGGTGTGTGGAGAGATGAGGACATAAACACAGAAATGTCCGATTCTCCACATGGTTTTCCATCGTTTGAGCTTCACTGTGAGTCAGAATAAACTACAGTGTGTGTGTTCATGGTTTTAGACAACGGTAGAGCTCCATGGCTCAGAGGAAGAGGGGATATCAGGCTTTTGATTGTTTGGTTTGAGTCCGAACCTGGACTTTGTTCAAATATAAAACCAGACATATTATTAGTATTTATTATTAGTAAGTATTTTAAACAGCTGACCTTTTGCATTCGCTGCAGAGAGCTGTGAGGAAGATGGAGAGGACGAGGAGGAGGATGAAGAAACTGATGACTCCTGGCGAGAGGAACCCCGAGCCGGCGACCTCTGCTCCGACCGCAGCCATGATCGCTGACACAGAGAGAGAGAGAGATTATTATTTTCATTTTTTATTTTAGTAATTGTTCCTTTATTTGTTTTTTTATTTCACATTTTATCCTGATTTTTTTTGTATACACACTCACTTATACTGTTTTATTTATTCATTTAATTTAAATCTTTAATATTTAATATTTATGTATTTATATTTTTAAACACACATTTTACTTTTGTCTTTATTTTATAAAATGAAATGAATTGTTCTTTTATAGTTTATTTGTAGCTTTGGCAATATTGTTGTTAAATTCATGCCAATAAAGCTAAGAGAGAGAGAGAGAGAGAGAGAGAGAGAGGCGTCAAGCTGCACTGCAAGAACAGGAAGTGAGGCGTGCAAAAGTTGACCTCTGTGTCACCTCTCTGTTTGAGTATGTGACAGGAATGTGAGACATTTTCAGTGTTCTGACGGCGTGGCCGACTTCCTCGAGCGGGAACAAACACACCTGAGACCTGCACTTCTCTGATAACTACTTCATTTGTTTGCTAACGTTTGTTTCAGTTGAACACGAATAGACTGAAGTCTGAAATCTGGATCTCCATATATTTCAGGAGGAACCACAAACAAAACATCGTGATCCACAGAGTCACGAGTAAGCGTCATTGTGAACGACAAGCGACTTCACTTACACAGATCAGCCGTTACATACTGAGCACTGACAGGTGAAGTGAGTAAAGTGCAATTTATACTTCTGCGTCAAATCGGAGGCGTAGCCTGACGTGCACCTCCTCAAAAATGTAACTACACGTCGATGCGACGCAGATGGTAAGAACTGTGATTGGTCGGCTGGGTAGCCTCACAATGCCTCCGAGCCGACAGGAAGTGCCCCATGCTTTGAAGTAACTTTTACTAGCGGCCAAGCCGGCGGCTGTAACACGCTGGATCGATGTATTTGAGTGTCACAACCCGAGCGAAACGACTTGTTTCACTGTCAGAATGTGATCGATCGAAAAAAGGCTTCACCAGCCGCACGTTCACAATTTTACCCCCATTCACGTTAGTCGAGGGCTAAACCAGAAGTCAGCCTGCTCAGCCGGCAAAAGTCATCTCAGTGGACACTGTAGCGCTACTGCTGACTAGCAAATGGCGGTGTAATTGCAGAACTATACAAGATGTCTGTCTGATAGTGCTATAGCTAAATTTAAGGATGCGATTCCATCAGCTCTAAATTCATTATCAAGTCACAAAGTAACGGAGGACTCCTATGCTAATTTCAGTCCCTCCCAAATCGCTGCGAATGACACTCGACTCTGTAGCCCCTCTAAAAAAGAAAATACTAAAACAAAGACGGTTAGCTCCATGGTATAATACTGAAACTCGCAAATTAAAGCAAATATCGCGGAAACTTGAGAGGAATTGGCGTTCCACCAAAGTGGAAAATTCTCGTTTAATTTCGCAAGATAGTCTTAAAACTTATAGGAAGGCCCTCCGTAATGCCAGAGCAGCGTACTACTCGTCATTAATAGAGGAAAATAGGAACAACCCCAGGTTTCTTTTCAGCACTGTAGCCAGGCTGACAGAGAGTCACAGCTCTATTGAGCCAAGTATTCCCATAGCTCTCAGTAGTTACGACTTCATGAGCTTCTTTAATGATAAAATTCTAGCTATTAGAAACAAAATTCACCAAGACCTGCCCTCAACTGGCACCGACTTATCTCTTAACTCAGGAACCTTAGAAACAGCTGTAGAACCAGATACATGTTTAGACTGTTTTGCTTCCCTCAATCTTTACCAACTAACTTCAATAATTTCTTCATCTAAACCATCAACCTGCCTCTTAGACCCCATCCCGACTAGGCTGCTTAAAGATGTTCTACCCTTAGTCAGCACCTCTATACTAGATATGATCAATCTATCTCTATCAACAGGCTATGTACCACAGTACTTTAAAGTAGCTGTAATTAAACCTCTTCTGAAAAAGCCCAAACTTGATCCGGATGTTTTAGCCAACTATAGACCTATATCTAACCTTCCATTTCTCTCTAAGGTTCTGGAGAAAGCAGTTGCTAAACAGCTGTGTGACTTTCTACAGAGCAATAGTTTATTTGAGGATTTTCAGTCAGGGTTTAGAGCTCATCATAGCACAGAGACAGCACTGGTGAAAATTACTAACAACCTCCTTATTGCATCAGACAAAGGACTTGTCTCTGTACTGGTTTTATTAGATCTTAGTGCTGCATTTGATACCATTGACCATCAGATCCTATTGCAGAGACTGGAATATTTCATTGGTATTAAAGGAACCGCTCTAAGCTGGTTTAAGTCCTATTTATCAGATCGATTTCAGTTTGTACATGTTAACGATGAGTCCTCCATGAATGCCAAAGTTAGTCATGGAGTTCCTCAAGGATCTGTCCTTGGACCAATCCTCTTCACTTTATATATGCTTCCTTTAGGCAATATTATCAGGAAACATTCCATAAGCTTTCATTGTTATGCAGATGATACTCAGTTATATCTATCGATCAAACCAGATGAAACTCATCAGTTAGCTAAACTTCAAATGTGCCTTCAGGATGTTAAAACCTGGATGACCTGTAATTTTCTAATGTTAAACTCAGATAAAACTGAAGTTATTGCTCTGGGGCCTAAGCACCTCCGTGACGCATTATCTAAAGATATAGTTTCCCTGGATGGCATCGCCCTGGCCTCCAGCACCACTGTGAGGAATCTTGGAGTTATCTTTGATCAGGACATGTCGTTTAAGTCTTGTGCTTTCTCGTCCCTCTCTCTGCCCCCGTGTTCCTGCTTGACACCCTCTGCTGCAACGACTATTGTTACTAGTCTTATTGTTATTATTGTTATTATAATAATTAACATTACGATTGTTATCATTAACACTACTATAAATATCTGTACCATTTTTCATTTAGTCTATAGCAACATCACCTTTACTGTCTGTACCTCTGTGTGGATATTGTGTAGGCTGCCTCTCTCCCTCTCTCTCTCTCTCTCCCTCTCCCTCTCTCTCTCTCTCTCTCTCTCTCTCTCCTTCACCACCAACCGGTCGAGGCAGATGGTCGCCCACCCTGAGTCATGGTTCTGCTCGAGGTTTCTGCCTCTTAAAAGGAAGTTTTTCCTTGCCTCTGTCTCCTAGTGCTGCTCTTGGTGGGAACTGTTGGGCTTCTGTAAATAGCATCATAGAGTTCGGTCTAGACCTGCTCTTTTATGAAAAGCGCTGTGAGATAACTGTTGTTGTGATTTGACGCTATATAAATAAAATTGAACTGAAGTTACTCCACATCGTCACTCATGACTGCCTGGCATCACTTTTAACACACTGGGAAGCCCTTTAGCGTTTTAAAACACTACAAGCATTTTATCTCAGGTCAGTAATAGATGACGGACTATTAAGAGTGACAAAGTCCACACGGGGAGCTGGGCAGGGAGGACAGATGGGTCAAACAAACATTACACTTTCACCAACTAGGCAAGTGTTCGTTTCCCCTGTGAAACCAATCATTAGCATGGACTTTTTAACTTAAGCTACGTAATGTACAAAAGAAGTGAATACTATCAAAATTAAACACGTGGTTAACGTTGTTAAACATCCCAATTTGGTTATGTTGAGGAAAAGATCCCTGTTTGGGTTCCAGTAAGCGGGTTAGTTGTGTAAATTAAGCAACTTAAGTTAGCGTAAATCAAGTTACGTAGCTTCTCTTAAGTTAAAAAGATGTCAGCATTTATAGTTGCTTTCACATCAGAAATGAACACTGGTCTACAGCGAGAAAGTCCCTGTTTACTTGTTAAGTTGCATTGACTTCTTTACGTTAAGCTACGTAACTTACAACTAACCAACTTATTTAAAATCTTTTCTTAAACCTAACCAAGAAGTTTTGGTGCCCAAACTTAACCAAACTGCAACTTTTTACAATGTTAACCACATGTTTTATTTTGAAAGTCAAACCAGGTGTTGCATATTTATTATATCTAACTGTGCGTCCAGAAATAACGCTAAAGGGGGAACCCAGTGCGGTAAAAGCGACGCCAAGGGGTCCACATGTGACGAGCTGGGAGAACGTGTTGTCAGATCAGAAAACAACACAGCGAGGAGGAGGAGCTACAGGGTGACGTAAAACATGAACAGAGGACTATGTTATAAAAACATTTACATTTTAGGGATTTATATACAAAGCTACTGATTGCGACATGTGAATAAGCTGCAGTTTCTCTGATCATTAACATTAACAACATGGTATTATTGTCTTTACACTTGTTAAAGCACTTTTTTTGAAAAGTGCTCTACAAATAAAGATTATTATTATTAACATGACTAACGATAGGTGGAAGGTCAAAGGTCAGAGTCTGTATTCTCCCTGTGTGAGTTCACCAAAAAACGGGAACGTGATTAGAAACACAAACAAACTGAAGATGACTGAAATTATGTCCTTCAACATACCTTTGTCTTCAGGTGAATCTCACAAACTCTCTTACATCTAAACTTCATCCCAAGATACAAAGTTTACGTCTTTAGATGGCAGAAAACACATCAAACTGAAAATGTTCCAAAACTTTTTCTGACAGAAGAATGCTCTGAAACCGGCGTGTAAATATAACCAAGGTCACGTTCACTTTTTAACACCTGCGTCCTGGAGAATAAATAAGATAACCCAAGTGTTGTGTGATGTCACTTCCTGTTTAGAAAACAACATGGAGTAGGTGTTTTACCTTGTTCTCTCAGTCGCAGCTCAGCGAGACTTGAAGCAGCAGCAGTTTAATCATATTGACTGATTCCTGTCAAACAAACACAAAACCATCAGACTGAACAAACACTGACACTAACACACCTGTCCAGTCCCCAAGGTTTCAAGTTTGAATAAATATTTATTTAGAGGTGTTTTTCAAAATAAATACTTTGGCTTTTTTTGGGAAATAATCTTATTAACTTTCAAGGCAGAAAGTTAGATGACAAGATTAATATTCACACCTGTCCATTAAATATAGGCCTGGTTAGCTTAGCTTAGCATAAAGACTGGAAACAGACGGAAACCTCTGATGATTTATGAGCAGGCAAGGGCGTCACTTTGTGATTAGGGGTGTGAGGAGACACTTAGCTCGCGAGACACCACTCTATGCGATATTAGGTTAACAAGAGACAAAGATATCCTCCATGCCGAGATAAATGTTGATCATTAAACACTTTATTTCCTCCATTTTGGTTAAAGTTTCTGCACCAGTTTATGGTGGAAATGTTTTTAGTTTTTGGAAAAGGAAACACAACATTTCAAAACATTTCAAATTATATAAATAGGTATAGAATCTAAGTCGGTGCAGCTCTCAGGCTGAGGCAACACATACGTAGGCCTGATTTAGTCTTCCTTCCTCTTTTGTCATGTTCACAGGGAGAGAACGGAAAACTTGACGTTGTTAAAGTTACTGACTGGTGCTGCACATTTTTGGATCATTTTATAATCAGCAAAAGTGCATGCTTTGTTAATGTGCAAATAAACCTTTCTAAAGGCATTTTTTTTATTTGTTAATTAACTGCAAACTATATTTTAGAACGTTTTTTAAACAAATTATGCTTTAAAAAAGTGATGGGGACATGTCCTCAGTGTCCCCAGTGGAAATGACATCTGCATGTGCAAGACTATTTCTTGACTCTGACCTCTTGCTAGGGAACCAATTAGAAAGTTATTGACCCCATCCACAAAAAGTCCGGCACATAACCTCCCGGCAAATTGTGTTTTATTTCATGATTCAACAAACAAGATATAAGGTATTTGTCAGTGAGCTTTAGAGAAGCTGATAGGTAGATGTTGTTTCTGGAAACAGTTTCCCACTATTTCCAGTCTTTATGATAAGCTAAGCTAATCTGCTTCTGCATGTAGCTTCACATTTACTGTACAGACATGAGGGTGGTAACAATCCGAACACTCAGCCAAAAACTGAATATACACTCACTGGCCATTTTATTAGGTACACCTTGCTAGTACTGGGTTGGACCCCTTTTGCCTTAGGAACTTCTTCGTGGCATACTTTTAACAAGGTGTTGAAAACCTTCCTCATGGACTTTGGTCCATACTGACATGATCGCATCACGCAGCTGCTTTGTCGGCTGCACATCCATGATGAGAATCTCCCGTCCCATCTCATCCTAAAGGGGCTCTGTTGGACTGAGATCTGGTGACTGTGGAGGCCATTGGAGTTCAGTAAACTCACTGTCATGTTCAAGAAACCAGTTTGAGATGGTTTGAGCTCTGTGACACGGTGCATTGTCCTGCTGGATGCAGCCATCAGAAGATGGTACACTGTGGTCATTAAGGGATGGACGTGGTCAGCAAGACTCAGGGAGGCTGTCGCGTTTGAACGATGCTCAGTTGGTACTAAGGGGCCCGAAGTGTGCCGAGAAAATATCCCCCACACCACCACACCAGCACCAGCAGCCTGAACCGTCGACACGAGGCAGGATGGATCCATGCTTTCATGTTGTTTACGCCACATTCTGACCCGACCACCCTGGAGGTCGCAGCTGAAATGGAGACTCATCAGACCAGGCAACGTTTTTCCAATCTTCTGTTGTCCAGTTTTGTAGTTTCCTGTTCTCAGCTGACAGGAGTGGCCCCCGCTGTGGTCTTCTGCTGCTGTAGCCCGTCTGCTTCGAGGTTGGACGTGTTGTGTTCAGAGATGGTATTCTGCATGCCTTGGTTGTAACGAGTGGTTATTTGAGTTACTGTTGCCTTCCTGTCATCTTGAACCAGTCTGACATCAACAAGGCGTTTCCAGCAGCTCACTGGATGTTTCCTCTTTTTCGGAGCGTTCTCTGTAAACCCTGGAGATGGTTGTGGTGAATATTGAAAATCCCAGTAGATCAGCAATTTCTGAAATGCTCAGACCAACAACCATGCCACATTCAAAGTAGCTTAAATCCCCTTTCTTCTCCATTCAGGTGCTCTGCTTGAACTTCAGCAAGTTGTCTTGACCACGTCTACATGCCTAAATGCATTGAGTTGCTGCCATGTGATGTATTGATTAGCTATTTGTGTAAACAAGCAATTGAACAGGTGTACCTAATGAAGTGGCATACAGTTTTCTCCCAAAATGTGGAACTATTCCTTTAAAAAAGGTTGTCACAAGTTGAAAAGAACCCACTGCTCTAAATATCTGGCACTGGGGCTGCACAGAGCAAAGCACCTAACCTGAAACTGCTGCAGGAGTTTTTAAAGGAAAGTTTTTACTGATTACTTATTGAGAGAAACTAAAGGGAGAAGTTTGTCTGCGCTAAGGTGAGAAAATAAATTAAATTAATTAGCTTGGAAAAACAAATAAATATATACTATTTAAATAATATTTACAAAGGCAGAGTTTCATGGCAAGACACTTCTAAATATTTTAGATAAATCAATAAACACTTGAGACTAATAGGATAATAATAAAGGAACCACAATAACTTAGCAAAAGTCCATCTGCTGATGTAGACCGTGAGATACATGCTCACAAATCACACCACATGTGGCCTTATTAACACAGGTTTATATGATAGCCATATTACTGATAATGACGCTGATATACTGTATCAAACATGTTTGTTTGTACAGAATAATTATATTGTTATATTATTGTTTAATACTTCCTACATACATATATGTTGTGTCTGTGGTATAAACCTGTGTTTATTATGAGTTATTGGTACTTTTTTATTTCTGTGTTGTCACTGATGTTACATAAAATAATATAATGATATATAATATAATAACAATCATCCTGGAAAGTCAGATAAAATAAGTGTCAGACTTGATTTGTTGGTCTTAATATTTTAACAGTTTACATGTAAATAATATTTACATTTACATTTAAATAATAGCTGAAGTGCAGGAAGATGTCATGAACCTCTGACTGTCAAAGACTTTTAGATCAAATATACAGATAAATATCCATGTTTGACTAGTTATTAACTATAGATTAACTAGCTATGACCAAGTTAAAGTAGATTAAAGTCAGTATAAAGTCTACCTGTGTCCATGGTGCAGACAGCCGTAAGTTCAGTTTCAGATGTGAGGAGTTGTTCCTGCTGCAGGTTTACACATTAACAGACTGAACAAACAGGCTCTGCTCTTTGAGCTGCTTAAAGAGACACACACACTGTTTAGTCACCAAACATATGTGAGACTGATGGACAGACAGGAGAGATGCCATCATCCTGGTCTCTGTTGTCTCCAGATCCAGATCAGACGATGGAGATCGGTTTCATCTCTGGACAGACAGTGAAGAGGCAGGACATCATTTAGCCTAGCTTAGCAGAAAGACTGGAAGCAAGGGGAAACAGCTAGCCTAGCTCAATTCAAAGAGAAAAACCACACATCGAAGCTGAGTGGTGACAAGTAGAGCTGCAACAATTAGTCCATTAATCGATGAGTTGTCAACTATTTAATTAATCGTTGACTAATTTGATAGTTGCTTAATCATTCTGAGTCATTTTTTTCTAAGAAACAATTTGCAAAATCTCTGATATAAGCTTCTTCAATGTGAATATATTTGGGGTTGTGGACAAAACAGGACATTTGAGGACGTCATCTGGACATTTGTCACAATTTTCTGACATTTTATAGACCAATATGATTAATCGTGAAAATGATCAACAGATTACTCGATAATGAATATAATTATTAATTGCAGTCCTACTGACAAGCAAGTCACTAACGCTAACGGGACCTCGGAGCTAACTTGATATCTTTTTCTCACACTTTAAAAATGGTCAGAACTAAAGACAGATGAGCAACAAACACATGCTTCCCAAAGACACTAAAAACTTTTATTTAATTACCTACAAGACTCTGACAAAATGGGCAATACTCTTTGCAGTCCAGGAAAGGTTGAGTTTAGCCTAGCTTAGCAGAAGGACTGGAAGCAGGGGGAAACTGCTAGCCTAGCTCAACTAAAAGAGAAAAATACACTTTCAAACATCATTGAAGCTGAGTGATTCTTAGCTGACAAGCTAGTCACTAATGCTAACGGGACCTAGGAGCTAACTCGATATATTTTTCTCACACTTTAAAAATGGTCAGAACTAAAGCCAGATGAGCTACAAACACGTGCTCCTCAAGGACACAAAAAATAAATGATGTTATTACCTAAAAGTCCAGGTGTGTTTAGCCTAGCTTAGCACAACGGGTAAGGGTTAACTGCTAGCTTAGCTCCACTCCACCTTTCAACAGCTCTGGGTTTGTCTGATTCACGTGTTGTATCTTTTTTGTAAACTGAATTAAACTCACCGTAGCTTTCAGAGTTTATTACATGACTTTTAGTTTATAAAGAGAGACTATCATTGTCTCAGTTTTTTGAGGCACACCAGATACAAGCTTGCTCACTTGCTAGCCAGATAATTTTCTTGCTAGCAAGGTTGCTTGCTGTCTTACGCGCAATCGTGCACAGACTATTTCTAGCAACAAAACAAGACATCAACAGAACAATCACAAACATGTTTTGCTGTGGAAATAAAGCTGACTGCAGGACTGGTCACTACTTTGTTAGCTAACAAGACACAACATGTAAAAAACAGAGCTGGAGCTGTTGGAAGGTGGATTTTTTTTCCTCTTCCGATGGACCTAGGCTAGCAGTTTCCCCCTGTTTCCAGTCTTTGTGCTAAGCTAGGCTAAAAACATCCAGGATTGGACAGAGATTTCCACAATGTTCTTTTAAGTATTAAGATAAATCAGTTTTTGTGTTTTTGAAAAGCACACAGCACATCTTTTAAATATTTTAATGGTAAAAGATATTAATTCAATATTTAAAACAACAGGATGTTGTTTTAAATATTGTTCTGTCCAGTATTTTCGTACTGTTTTGAAAACTGCAGCTTTCTAGTGGATTACAGAATAGTGTTACGGTGTTTTTCTTTTTGTTTTGTGTCTTGTCATATTACTTTTCTCTGCTGCAAAACGAACATTTCAAAACATATAATTTTGTCCCAAACAGGTCACTACACAGCATGGAGCTGCCATGACATATTCTCCTCGAATAACTCAACACAGACGGAGTTTTTGTAGTTTTTTATGGCCGTTTCTCTGACCACAGGCAGCTGGGCCTGATAAGCTCATTAAAGCCCAAATCAAACTGTTACTGGAACATTATCAGCAGCTCCACCCAAACACTGCAACTGACGCTTACCGCTTGACTGGTCAAGCGAGGCCTGCCGAGAGCTGCGAGAGAGAGATAACAACATCTACTGTGCAGCTAAATGCTTGTCAAAAGAAGAAATGTAATTCCATTTCCTTATAGTGTCTGATCATGCAAATAGTTTTATTTGCAGCTGTGTTTGAGATCTGCGTCTCCGCTGAAAAAACACAGATGAGGTGAATGGGAGTTTTGTTGCGGCTCACGGCATTTATAGGTTGAATTTAGAAGAGAAAAAAAACATGGTTTTACAAAAAATTTAAAATAAACTGCAAACAGAGTTCTCCACATACAACATAAAGACAACAGGACATTTATTCAGTGGTAGATGAAGTATTCAGATCCTTTACTCAAGTAAAAGTACTTATACCACACTGTAAAAGTACTCTGTTAGTAAAAGTAAAAATGTTACTTAAGCATGTAAGTATAATCAGGAAAATGTACTTAAAGTATTAAAACTTACAATACTTTATCCCCTGAGACTGTTATGCTAGTTTATATTATATCCTCAGATCATTGTTCCTCATGCATTCATGTAAAATCAGGATTTTACTGCTGTAGTTGTTGAGCTGGAACTCATTTTGAACATCATGCTGTGTAGAAGAAGACCTGAAACCAAGCGGCGACCCTCCGGTCTCCTGGGTGAAGCCAATCTGAAACTAACAAACACTGCAATTCTGAGGCTGCCTCCAAAAGGGATCCATGTTAAAAGGCCCAATTTTACAGCAGTAATAAACATGTTTACAGCCTGGTTCAGATTTATATAGCTAATTTTGCCCTTCATGAAAACTGTTTATAACTCAACCGTTTAAATTAAATGAAGCCTTAAAGTTCTGCATTATTAGGGGTGTGGCGGCTTTGATTGACAGGTGGCTGCTGCTCGCCCAACATCTCCCTATAGACTCTTAGGCTGCGTTCAGACTGCAGGCCTTAATGCTCCATTAAATTTTTTTCCCAGATCAGATTTTCTTGTTCAACAGTTCACTTTATTGTTTAAATGTGGCCCATATCAGACTCCAGCGTGAACTGTCCACAGCCTGAAAGTGACCCGCATGCCCAGAAGAAGAACAGGACGTCACGCAGCAGCAGCAGCTGTCTTGCAGACGTAAACAGAGCGACAGAGGTTAGCTCATACTTGCTAACTGTTTTTCGTTGTCCTCTCGTGGGTCTGTACGGACAAGTAGCACGTACGTAAATCAGAAGAGAGCTCGCAGTCCGGTGGAAGAAAAGGAATGACAGCGAGGTAGAGAGCCACTTGATTGATAATGGCATTCGAGGAGGAGATTTTTTGTTCACCAAGGATGTCACAGTGGGGGATTGAACCCGGGTCTCTCACCCCAAAGGCATGTGTCTTATCCACTGCTCCATCACCACCCCGCAGTTAGCTACATCACGTTAGAGTAATCAAAGGAACCATAACTGATTTCATGAGCCACTTGCAGTTTCACTGTAGCGGCTGTGTGTACTTATTGCATGGCTTAATCTTTGAGACAAGCAAATGCTATTGACAGGATCAACAAGGTAGGTAAGCTGTACGCCCTTGGGCGCCGGCAAGAGCGGACGATCGTAACGGCCTACACGCCGGGGTGATGAGGCACGCCCCGCCAGGCTGCCTGCGCCTGGTGTAGCGCTCGGAGCTGAGGGGCTAAGCAACATCGGGTCATCTGCTTGTGGTTAAGCAGCCGGTCGCAGCCTCTGGTGGGAGGCTTCGCTCAGGGTTTGAGAAACACCGTGCTTGCCCTAACGGCCATGGAGGGCGAACCCACAGGTCGGAGGAACCGTCCACCCAAAAACCAGCGCTAGGCTGGCCAGCAGGGACCCTCCGATACCTGGAGTGTTCCTGTTACCATCAATCTACACAACTGTCAATGTGTACGGGAAATGACAGAAGGTTAAAATTTACTGTTATTGTGCTAAAGGTAATGGGGAAAAATTGGGTACTCCTAAATTTTGTGGTGGTGCACGTGAAAGAAAAATGTATGCAAAAAGTTAGCCTGGAGCTCTGTTTATCATTTTTAGTGTCTGGCGGTCAGTCTGTGAGTTACAAGGTCGGTAAGAAACCAATTCAGGAACATGATTCAACACAATTTAAAGAATTTCCCCTCGAGGATCAATAAAGTATTTCTGATTCTGAATCTGATGATGAGGCACCGACACCAAAACACAAACGTAGGCAGACACAAGCACTCACACACATTTACAAAAAGCTCATGTTAAATAAATCCCTCAGGAGTTCATGAAGTCACAGCTGCTGCTGCTTCTTCCTCCTCCTCTTCTATCTTTGCTCTTTCATCAGCTGAGCTTGAGCTCGCCTCCTCATGGCGAGTGCCGTCATCGTGCAGCAGACCGTCAGGCAGGGGAAGGAGGCGCAGGCCAGCAGGAGGCGCCCCTCTCCAAACTCCCTGACCAGCGCCGGCCGCCGCCACAGAAAGTCCTGGAACACGCCTCCTGCTGGACCAACGTGCAGAAGGACAGCAGGATGTGGAAGAGTTGGTGGCCGTGGCCGACGATGTCAAAGCGGCCGGGGGAGAAGCGCTCAGGTATGGGGCAAGAGAAGAAGAAGGCTGACAGCAGAAACAGCACCACCTGGTGGAGAAATGATAGAAGACAGTTAAAGACCACAACACAGTTTTTTCTGTACATGTACTTTCTCCAGAGACCTGATTTCACCAGCTGGGTTTCTCTTGAAGGACGCTGTTTTCTTGGCCATGTGTACACGTAACTTATCTAATCCGCTTTCTACAAACACGTGTAGGACGAACGGGGAAAGTATCTCAGTGACAGGTTGAAAAGAGAGATATTAAAAATATTCGGACTAAAACTGAAACCAAGTCTAATCAGGTCAGTTTCCACCGCTGATGTCCTGGTTTATTTATAGTGTGGAGGAGGACATCCTGACTGATATGCCGTTTTTCCGTTCCAGCTCTACTCGCCT